CCCGGGTCGCAGCATAAGGTCACCCGCGGGGCCGGGCCCGGCGGCGGAGCGGGGCGGACGGGGCGTTGGCAGCCGGGCTTGGGCCCTGGGCAAGCGGCGCCGCCGCTGCCAGAGCGTGAAGGGCGGCAGGGGTCTCTGCACGGAGAGACTCCGACTTCTCCCCGAAGCTTCTCATCGCCTTCTCCCTGGCCGCGTGGAGGGCAAGCCCCCGCCCTGGAGCTGGGGGTGTCGTACCTCCACGGCTCCTCAGCTGAGCCTCACAGTAACCGCTGGGGCCCAAGGGGAGGGAAGGCACGTCGGGACCCTCTGCTCCAGCATGCGTGCCGCTGCTGCCGCCCATCGCTGCCTACAGCTTGCTCCTGCTGAAGCGGCACCCTGCGAGCCGTCGCATCTCTTGGGTGCTGACCGTCAAGCAGCAGAGCTTCGCGTGGAGCACTCACACTCTGCTTCTGTCTTTGTGCTGTGGCGGAATAACACACCGTTGTAATGTGGAAACATGAAATTGTGTGTTAAGCGGCTGGAAGAATCCGTCTCGGCGCGTGATGAACCTGGCATACCACCCTCATAGGCAAGGGCAAAAGGCCAGTCGCTTCAGGGCACGTTTTCTGGAAGACGGGTAGTTGCGTAGCTCCTCCCGCTCAAAAAAGCGACTGCGCGCTTCAAAAAACCCGGCTGCTAGTTAAGCCTCACACCTGACCAGCTGGTAAACTTCACAACGGCTGTCCTGTTTAACGGTGTCTTTTCTACGTCAATCACCACCCCCACGAGCGTTGCATAAAACTTGTCAGCCAACGGGGCTGACGGAGCCATCCGTTTCCTGTCCCTCTTAAACCCAGCTTGCGCGTCGGTTCTGACCTTATGGCGGTAGAGCCCTTCCACGGGCCCCGTTAGGTGACCCTTCCTGAAACTGGCTCTCGCTCACAGCATAGGCTGGCTGAGAGCAGCCGTCTCCCCACGGTGCGGGCAACTATCAATTTTCCAATTCCGTACAGAAAAATAAAATGAGAAATGCTGTTCTATAGAGAGAGGAGAGGAAAGTAGCCTCTGAGCTTTCCCTGTACTTTGATTTATGGTCACAATGACATTTTGGAGGTCAAAAAGAGTAGCAATGCCAAGTACTGAAGCGTGTATTGATCCAAGGCCCACAGCTTGCTAATTCTGTTCTTTACAAATACCAACAGCACTGTTTTACAGAGGCAAGTGGTCTGAAATATGATCGCCTACTGGATAAAAATAAAAGCTGTGTAACATTGAGCATTATATATTATTTGCCTTTAGATACATGATCTTACCTTTGGCCTCTGAAACACAAGTTGTTGGCCTGAGCACATCTTACCAGGCAATCCCCATCATTCTGTAGGAGAGCCCTCCTCAGTTTTACCACTTCCACAAGCTCTAAGATTTACAAACTATCAAGAGGGATTTAGTTTTTTTTAAAAAAAAAAAAAAAGTGTAAAAAGTCTGAAACTGGTTCTTGAAGCACACTAGAAACATGGTCCTTCTCCCATGATTCCCCATATGTAATTTTATGTTGAGATCAATTCTGCAACTCTTTTTATTCCATTGAATATATGATTGTTGTTCATAAATTGAGTGGTCACACAATAAAAGCGGCCACAGACTAGTCACCTGGGTTCTTCTAATCCACAGGAAATTCTCCAGAAGAGCCCTGGAGGTGATTTCTAGTGTAGTATCATGTTATGAATTACCAGGAGTAGATCATGACTACGTCAACCTGTCCAGGCCCCGTGTATTCTGTCAGATCTCAAAAAGAGGTGCATCAGGCTGTACCCTAGCTGTACCCTCATCCCCTTCAGGATGCTCCTTCCATTTTTTCGCTGTGTAGAAGTCCTAGCACAAATAATTTTCTTTGACGGTTTTCAGATCTCTCTGTAGATATCCTTGATTTTCTTGTCCAATGATTTAAAAGGCCATCCTTAAGAATGCTGCATACAACACTGTTCTACCAGTTTGATTCTCAGATAAGTCTTCCTTATTTTCACACTGAAATCTTGATAATAATTTCAGGTGTGTCCTTTTCTTTCTGCTGCACGCAATCTGCTTGTTGGTCTGTCTGTGTGCACTTACAGAATACCTCTGGGTACTGCCTTCTGTCTGAGGAAACACTGCAAGTCCTACTCTTCTCTAGTTTTTACAGGTTTTGGCTTCCTTGGCGGCCAGTCCTTTCCTTTCTTGAACCTGGAGTTACAGTGGTTCCCTAGGCAAGTTGTGAGTGTTTGTCAGCAAGCTGCAAGAGTGGCTTCCTTCCACGGAGGAAGACAACCCCAGCCTAGGCAGGGCGGTGATCTCTCCAATGAGGGCACAGTCCCACCATAATGGGCACAGTGCCACAGAGCTGGGCTGGTGACAGTAAAAGGTTCTGTTGACCGTCCAGCAACCGTGAGGCAAATGCAAGGTGACGAGTCAGATCCCAGGTCAAAGACAAGTGAAGAAGCTGGGAGCAGCAGGGGAGAGGGCTGGGCACAAGCCTACCTACAGCAGAGCTCAGGCAAGGCCCGGGATGGAGCGTGGATGCAGCGCCTGCACCCCTGTGCTGGGGTGCGAGCTGGGCAGGGCACTCTGGGGCTGCTGGTGCGCTTGGGGCCCCATCAGCCAGCATTCTTCATCTTCCTAGTTCTTCCTCAGTGTCAGCACAACCCTTTCTCTCGTACTATGTCTGTCAACAGCAACTTGCCACCCACCTGTGCTTCACGCGTATGAATCCAGCAGAAAATACGAATGAACGCAGTAGAAGAGAAGAACATGGCTGAATTGTTCCAGACTGAAACCACTGTCTGTCACCAGCCCATCACAGTATCCTACGTAGAAATGTCTCTAGGAAGAAAGATAGCATGCAGACATCCAGCTTGGGTATCTACACTGAAGCGCTAGACTTCTAGTGTAGTCCAAGTAGGAGAGAACGAGCGCCTTTCTGAGGGCAAATGCCACCTATTGTCTTTTAGTCAGATGGCACTTTTTTTTTTGGTAATAATACTATGCATAGGTAGTGGAAGAGATCATTAGCACTGGGAAGAACAAAAAAACAAGTGAAATGGGTCTTTTATTTAGTCAAAATATTTTTATTTGCCTGTTTTTAGCTATTTAGTCAAAATATTTTTATTTGCCTGTATTTAGCAGAAGGTTTGCTTTCCTCCCTTCCCCCCCTCTATTATTTGCTCATTATTTCCGATTTCTCATGCTTCCATTCTTTCAGTACAATATATTAACACCTTGCACCTCTTCAGCACTTTCCAGTTAAGGCTTTCAAAGCATTTACAGACATGAGTTAACTAATCCTCACAACGATCATTAGCAGTAGGGAAGTAAAGTGATCTGCATCTGCAGAGAGAAGTTAAGATCAACTTTTTTCCAAGTTTTTCTTTGATTTTCAGTGCCCAGCTTGTATTACACTGGGCTTGATGAACATGAAACTGAGTTTGAGCACTCAAAATCTAAAGCTATCCATGAAAATCTGTCTTTAGTAACTTCAAGGCCACACAGTAAGTGAGCAGAGGAATCCAAAACCGGGAACAAGGCATAACTTCCAGTTATGTGCTATACTGAGACATAAAACTCTTTGTAACTTAGGTTTGGACTTTAAAACCACAATCCATTCCCTTCTCCTTACACATTATCCTCTACTGACCATTTCCAGCAGACTTCACCCTCAGGTACTTACATTCTGCATTTTACTAGCAATTTTACATGAGGCTCTCCACAGTCATCAATTGTATACAGTATACAATGCCTTTGGGTGACTGTAATGAGCCTTAATGGAAAAAAAAACAAACCCAAAAATCAACAACCTAACAAGCAACGGGCGTGGATTCTATCTCTGAGTATTTAAAGCAAACTTAAGTTAATGGAAAAACCTAATACGTGATTGTTTTAAGGAAAACACCCCCCATCCGCAAACCTGGTTCAAATGGAAGACTAAATATTAACTTGACATTAATACCTTCTTAGCAGTAGTGCATCTGCATAGAGATTTTTCATAAAAACCTGCAAATTCACAATTATACCTTGCAAACAGAAGCACTATGACTGTTCAAGCAAACACTAATTTTAAAATATCCATTCAGTTCATGTAAGTGGTATCTTCACGTTAGCTCCATCAGAAGATACTGGCATGAAACACAGACGAAACTTTTTCTTAGTTAGGTGAACACTGAAAATTCAAACAGTCAGACAAACACAGTGCAAGTATTTTAACAAACAATATAAAATTTCACTGGCTTAAAAAAGATCTAAATGAGAAATCTTGGTTATTTCAATGACTTGCTAGACCCTCCGTTTAAAATGATGCATTTACAGAACTATGCAGATGAATTAGGCTTCTTCTACAACACTAAATACCGTAATTCTGATAGATTGTGCAAGTATTAAAAATATTAACATTTAAAATGTTAACATTACAATTTTAAATAGCCTTGCAAGTGCAATGTTATAAATATATAAAAAACCCCCTCAGAGCTACAATTTTATGTAAGTTATATGAGTAAATGAAAGTGCTTTTCAAGTATTTACGTTCATTTACAGTTGGATTCTCTTGTATAAGTCAGTGCTCAGATGGTACAATTTAAATATCAGTCTTTTTTTAAAAATTTTGGATGCATGCATTTAACTGGATGGAATAAATGGTTTCACTTGCAGAAATGTGTGATAAATATTTAAATACAGAATATAATTTGTGATAAATATTTAAATATGGAGTATTATAAAATGTGAATATTGTATTTTTTGTTATCTATTAAAAATAAAATAGAAAGAGATCATATCCTGATGGGTATGTGATAGCCTGATAATGCCATGGGAGCCCTTGAGCCATACAGTAATTGTTAATTCCATCAGAATCCCAAATTATGAGATGCTAAATAGTTGTTCTTCAATAGAGACAAAAGCATGTGATCATAATAGAGGCCCAATACTGTCAACGTTTGAAGAATTTAGAAGATCTCATGATCTGTGTCAAAAGCCATGGAATCCAATGAAAACTTTCCAAGACTTTCAATTAGTCAGCCCTTAGCCGTAGTCACTCTGGAGAACACAGCTAGTGCATGTCACCACTGTACTGTCTGCCCAGTGAACGGTGTAGCTCCCTTTCTGGCTAGTCAAGAACCGTTATTATTGCAGTGACACAAAAAAGATTGTATTCCCGTTTGCCAGCCAGAGGAAGGGTGTGGTAAGTGGGGAGATACTTGTTTATTAGACAAGAAAAGATAAGAAAACAAAACAACCCTAAATGAATCATTATATATTTAGAAGTGCACTGAAAATACTTCCTATTGAACCCTATCGCTCGTAAGCACCAGATTTTCATCTTAAATTACATCCACTTTAAACACTGAACGTATGGAAGCTGATATTAGAGCATTTAGTTTGTCTTGCGGTTTGAAAAGCACACGACACAAGGCAGCATTAACATCTTCCATTAAAAATCTGGCGATGCCATAGTTTTATCATGAAGATGCAACTTAGAAATGACATAGTTCAGCAGAAGCCCCTGCAGATTGCCATTACAAGCTTTCTCCGACAAAGTGCTTTGTCATTTGCCAAAGACAAAAGTCAAACCGTTACCCTACCTCACCACAGTGCTGCACTGGCAATTTATAGTGTTCTTTCCAGATGCAGTTGGACTTTAATAAATTACAGCTCTTCAGTTAGGCAATTCTTTGTAATAAAAGCAGAGTTTCATGTTCCATCAAGAGTGGCCACTGTTTAGACTGGTCTCTTCATGCAGACCTGACAACGACTGATGATATTTTCTAGTTCTCCTGCTTTCAAAGTCTGTGGCAGAGGTTTCCTAGAAGAAAGAAAACAAACATTTACTTTTTTCTTTAAAAAACAGGAAGAGATGATGAAACTTCGGGTATGGAAGTATTGACAACACCACTGAAATCCTTGGCTCACTTAAGGCATCTTTGTGCTACAGAATTACCCTAAACCTAACAAAGGGGGATGTCTAAACTGAGAGGAATTACTAGGAGAACCCCCACATGTTATGCAGGCAGTTACTGTCTCCTCGGGCACTTGCAGCACGGATGCGATGCGTATGGATGCAGAGAAGTACAGTTTACCTGAACATTCTTCTTGGATTTAACGATGCCAACCAGAAGCTGTAGGAATTTGTGTAGTAGTTGCACGTCCCCCTGCCATGGCACTCTATGAATGGGATGGCTCGAAATTCTTCCAAACAAGATCCAGGAGATGCCAATGCTTGGCCAGAAGCTTCTGAGCCAGCACTTGTATACTGTAACCACCAATACATTTTTTTTTATGAGAACTTGTTCATCAACTTTTAGTAAACTGCAGGCAAAAAAAAAAAATCTCCTTCTAAAACATACCATAGGTTCTGTGGTATATCTTGGGTAAAACAAAACGAACACAGATTAGTTTTATCAAACCTATAACGAAGCACAGAAGCCTTAAGAAAATTCAAGCACAGTTATGGCATTTCAGAAGTCCCTCCAAAGACCTTTTTCTGCTCCATGAAAAGGCATGAAACTGTAACCAGTACAAAGACCAGAAAGTAGCTGGCTTCTGTCCAGTTGAGGATTACAGTAAATGAATTACAAATAAGCCACATCCCCTATTTTGTGTGTATTCATATTTTTTGTTGTACTGCTTGCTTCTCCAAACACAAAAAGCAAAGAAGGCTTTTCCTTCTCTGATGTTGGTAAATGCCTGTAGAAATAGCTCTAAAATAATTCATGACAGTAGAAAATTGGCTAGAAGATACAATTTAAATTTCCTGATGTTGGAAACAAGCAAATGATTTTAACCAGATGCTGCAAAAGTTCTCTTATTCTTTTCCAAGATTATTGTTGTTATTACTTAGGGCCAATTCCCAGGAGAGACAACAAATTTCACACTAGACCTAAAAGGACTTCACATCATGCAAAAAAGAGGGATTTTTAATTCTGTCTTTTACCCTCATTTACTGGCATCCCTATGACATCCCACAGGCACGGATAAGAAAGATGAAGTGCTACGTCCCCTAGCATAGCTACACCCTTATTCCCATACTCAGTTCTCACCTTGCAGGCACACTATGAACTTGCTTCACTCATATCTTGTTATGGCATCAAAATTGCTGAGGCAGTCTTTTGTAGACAGCGCACTGCATTTGTTTTGATTTTAGCTTTCTGTGGAGTTCAGCCCTAAGATCCAATTTATAAAAGAACCACTTGGCATGGAAGTGGGTCAGTTATTTCTGTGTATTTGTGTTCAGGACCAGTTTAACCACTCCACTCCCCACACCTGCTTCCTAGATCTTAGCATGATGCATGAAAATGAGAGCATGCAGTTATTTTTGTCAGACTAAAATCCTATGGTAGTCCTTTCATCTTTTCCCCTTTCTTCCTGCCACCTATTTTTAAGGACAGATCGGAATAGTTGTTGCTATGCTTCTGGCATTAAATAAGAGTTAATAGAATTATTGTCTGCTCCTTGGGAAAGGAAAAAAAAAAGGATTTATCAATTATTAAGAAACAAATGAGCTATGAGCAGATGAAAATGCCAATGAAAGTGAGACGAGATAAAATTAATAATTCAAGTCTTTATATCCTTACCATAACAAAAGAAAAACCCTTCCAGAGAGATATCCAGCCTTCTGGACATGCAGGAACTACAGTTGTTTGGCTGTGAACTGCTATTACCATTGCAGCTCCTTCACAGACAGCACACCTGTACGAAGAAACACACGTGCATTCATAGAATCATAGAATCATTGAGGTTAGAAAAGACCTCTAAGATCATCGAGTCCAACCGTCGACCCAACACCACCATGCCCACTAAACCATGTCCTAAAGTGCTTCATCTACTCGTCTTTTAAATACCTCCAGGGATGGGGACTCCACCACTTCCCTGGGCAGCCTGTTCCAACGTTTAACCACTCTTTCAGTAAAGAAATTTTTCCTCACATCCAATCTAAACCTCCCCTGGCACAACTTGAGGCCATTTCCTCTCGTCCTATCACTTGTTACTTGGGAGAAGAGACCGACACCCACCTCGTTACAACCTCCTTTCAGGGAGTTGTAGAGAGCGATGAGGTCTCCCCTCAGCCTCCTTTTCTCCAGGCTAAACAACCCCAGGTCCCTCAGCCGCTCCTCATAAGACTTGTTCTCCAGACCCCGAGTCTGGGGTCTGGGGTCATTCAGTGCAGAGATGAGGGAAAACAGACAAAAATTGTATTTCTAGGACAGCAGCTACCTAATGGCAGGGCTTACTGTCAATGTTACATCTCACACAGGTTTTCTGTTTAATGAGGAGATAAGTAAATTGAAGGTAACCCAAATACCTTGCTTTGCAATCTCTACTAGTAACACCAGACAAAAACTGATAAAGATGGGAATTAGTCCCAGAACATTTGAGCTTCCTAATTTTGCCTTTACTGAAGTAACAAGCTAAATTTTACCTTCTTTGTGTGCTCACCACTGACGTTGTTACAGTTTAGATCAAAGTTCTGTACCTTTATTTGCTAAGATTAGAAAAAGTAATCTTTATTTCCTAAGTGAAGAAACTATGAAGGTGAGCTACTAGATTGCAGCAACTGGGTAGGGCAGGCTAGAAGACCAAGCGCAAAGCTTGCCTTCTCATCTTTCCTTTTGCTACTCTTGGTCTTTCATGCTTTTAGAGCTTTTCCTCTTAAGATGCTCTTCATCCTTCATAGCTCTTTTAAAGCAACTAGAAAGGGCCACATTTGCACAAGGGTGTTTCATAGCAGAGAACCTTCAGCCCCAATTTACAATGTTCTTCACCCAACTACAGTAAATATATCACACATAGTTGAAAGCAGAACTTGATTTGTACTGTATTCCAAATAATGAAGCTATTTCATTTTAGTCTGCCTCTGATATATACAACAATAGGTTTTTAAAAAAATATCACTGCAAGCAGTAAGACTGTGTGCCATTTTCTCATGTCAGCTATGCAGATTAAGCCCTGTGGTGGGACCCTAGCTTTAATCTAACTTTTCTTAGAGTATCACTGAATATCTGACATATTCAGGTGAGTAAACAAAATTCAGGTGGTTAAAAACAGTGCTTGTACTGGCTGAGATGGGCAGGTCTTTGCCTAACATTTGCAGTTGAAAACTATTCATGACGTCTTTGTGGTTCCAGGACAAAAGAGCTAAAATTCTTATACTCTTACCTGCTTATATGGGGCTCTAGTGCCCTGCCAGAAATGGGTGCCATGTCTACTGGCACTACTGCTGCAGTTGACAGCCAGTATGAATAGTCATTGCGAGAAGCAAAACTACAAACATCATTGGTGTTACAGAATAAGAATGGCATGGTGGTAAATCTCTGCAAGCAGCTACCAGCTGTTCCTAAAAGACAAAAGAGGAGAGTTTTGTGACAAACAGGAGATTATATTTATTGCAGCCAACAGAAGAGACACACGATGGCATCCAATCTACTATAGTGAGAATTAAAACAGTTGGTAACTATAAAGAGAGAAGTGTCTGTACAGTGGAATTATACGAAAGCAAAATGCTTATGGTATATATAAAAATATGTATATTAAAAAATAAGGGCTAAGAACAAAATCTGTTAGAAATAATAGTATCTCGTTGAATGGTATTGGTCCTTGACACAGTGGCAGGGATTCAGCCACTTCAACAAAAGCTTCTGGTGCAATTGACACCCTAAACCATCCCATTTGGTCTCAAAAAAAAAAAAAAAAAAAAAAAAAAAAAAAAAAATCAAGATTCTCTCTCAGATCTTGTGTTGTTACTGTCAGCCCTGTGCAGATGTTGTGGACATTCATACTAGACATCTATCCAAAAGTAACTTAATTCCTCCTCAAAAACATCTAGGGATAGCAAAAAGGGAATATAGGAGTGCAGGAAAGAAAGGTGTCTTTCAAGCCACGACTCCTGAATTGACTCAGAGCAGCAGACCGCTCCGGAGACTGATGGTTGAAACCAATGTTCATTTCGGACACTTACTGTGAGTTTGGTTTCATGAAGACAATGTAGTATTACTGGACTCTAAAGAACATGATCTGAAAATTTTTTACCAATACAGTACCAAGATCTTGTCCATGTGCTCGTTCATTTCCTTGTACAAAAAGCAGTGAATAGCCAACATAGATCTGCGATGTCCCATGTGGGCATGAAGGAATCTTTGCTGATTGACTATGCCGGGTAAAGATAAAACCTCTTCTTGTTGGACCAGCAATGATAGTACCTGGTGATCCAGGTAACCCCTGTAGACCTGGAAAGCCAATCAGTCCAGGTTGTCCTGTGGGGGGGAAAGAAATACGACTGCAACTGTTGTAATTTTGTTTGAATTTTTACTTCATTTAAAGCAACTTCTGTAATTTTGTTTGAATTTTTACTTCATTTAAATTAGCGGAACCACTTGAAAACTAACAAAAAATTTATCAATCAGAAGATACATCTTGAAAATCGGTAGTATTTGTTGCTAGATGTATTAACTCCTTCAGACCTAGCTCAGGTAGCTTTACATTGCATAGTTTCATGGAATAGCGAGATACTTTAAAGAACCATGGCCATTTTTACCAAAAAAGTTGTAAAGTAAAAACATTTTATGGTGACTAAATAAAAGTATTTAGTTCCATTTTGATGTCCTATAAAGGCACACTGATACCTAGGGATTTCAAGTGGATAAATAAATGTGAATAATAACAGAGGAGCACAGTCAAGGCATATTTTTGTAAATCATTATTTCAGTTATGAACATGCAGCTGTTAAAAGCTAAGAATGTGCTTACATGTGCTTGTGGCCCTAAAGCTACTGCAAATGTTACAGAATCTCAATACATGCAAGAGGAAGGATTTACAGAAATCAGGAATACAGTTTATCTGTAAATTCACTAGTAGCAGTCAGAGAGAGGTGTCTGCTTTCCTGTACCTCTTTGTCCTGGAAATCCCCTGTCTCCTTTTGGACCAGGCAGTCCTGGTTGACCTGGATGACCAAAGCTTCCTGGAAGACCTTTTACTCCTTTAGGTCATAAATTGTAATCAAGAAAAAAACCAGAATAATATAGCAGTAGTTATTCTAGATTTTAATACCTGTTAATGAATAAAGTTAAAATCCTTACGTAGCTGCGTTAGAATAAAAACATCAGCATGAATTTACTAAGTTTTGAGACTGTCTGTAGTGTTACTGTCACTGTATTTCCTGTCAGGAAGATTACAAGGAAATACTGGATGTATTGCAGAGAAGTATTATTCTCATAAGAAATGTTTACAGAAACCAAAGCAAAGAGCTTTTTCTTTTAGCATGTGTCATACAATAGAAATATTTCCAAAATATAGTAACAGGCCATAATCATCTTGGTCACAGTTTGTAATCCTACAAATAATGCAGCTCCTCTGTAAAACAACTTTAAGGCAAGTGTAAAAGAGCAATTCTTTAGTGCTTGCTCTGTTACGCTGGAGGCAACAGCCGTTCCTGAGTGGCGCGTGCCTTCTGGGAAGCCTGCCCCCCTGAGGAGCTCCCTCCTGGGATGGAAACCCGTGGTATTGAGAAGGGTGGCCAAGTACCCGCTGCACATCCTACCTGCTCCTTGCTCCCCCATTCCTCACAGCCGTGGCAGGCTTCACTTACAGTGCCAATGGAGAAGTAGCCAGCCTCTCCTTTCCCCTCCCACCCCCAGACTATGACAGACAATCACTTTTAGCACATCTAGAGTACTTCTATTACGAGTGGTAATTTCCCCCCCAAAATGACAAACATCCTGAGCATAGTTCTGGTTGTATGAAAATGGTGAATATTTTGGTCCAACTTTACTTTTCATTCCATTTTTTTGCTTAGGCTTATGTTGAAGGAGAAACTTACTCACTGACTGCGAGGGTGGAGGGCAGATGGAATGGGACAGGTTATAAATACAAGGTTGTTAACAAGGTACAAAGAGCTATTTTTAAATATAGAGAGGTATTTTTAAAGACATGTCAATTTTCTATGCAGAAGCATGTTTTCGCGCCAAACCAAAATGTTCCACTAAGCAGCACACACAAACATGTACAGAGATAAAAATATAAACCACCTTGTAGTCCAGGAATCCCTTGAATTCCTTGATCACCTGGTGTTCCTGGGATTCCTGGCAGTCCAGGAGGACCCTTGCTTCCTGGGACAGAGAATATTATCCCAGGGACTCCAGGTGGACCTAGCAGCAAAAAATATAATGAAGAGCTATTGCTTTATATTAAAAGAAAGCAAGCAAACTACAAAACAAACCAAGCAAAGTCAGCTGGTATTAGAATGAGAAAGGTTGGTTACCATGCTGGCCCTTTGGTCCCCTTGGCCCTTCTGCACCTTGTGGTCCAGGGGGTCCTTGATTACCCTTTTCTCCTAAAAAAGAAGATTGGAGATACGTCTGCCTGGTTCAAAATGTCAAAACAACTGTCAGAGTTTCAAAGGCTTATTTAAGAGTCCACGCAACCTTCCCGAAGAGTTACACAGCCTGTAGACTCATTTGAAATGCGAGAGTGGACTTCTACATCTCTGCTGTAACTGTATAATTTATAGGCCAAGTGCAGTCAGTTTGTAAGAAGATGTTTCCAGGCCTATCTTCATGTAATGGCTGGTCCCATAAACCTAGCTTAAAATCTCAACTTCAGACTATGTCCTTGTTATCTTATGTGTTTTTGTCACTGAGTTTGCAGGTCAAGTGCTGCCTTCAGTGATGCTGTGCAGTTCAACTCCCTTTAAACCCTACTGTCAGTTATGCTGATGGCTGTTAGGAGGGTTGTATAGTTTTTCAAGTGTTTGAAACTTAATAAGCAATTCTTTTCACTGTGCAAAATACGAGGTTACATCCCAATTACTTTCCACAGCTCTGCCGGAAATAAATAAAAATGTATTTTTATCATCAAGCCAGAAGATTTGACTGACTATGCCATGAAATGAGAGCTTTTTACTTAAGAAAGTATAATTACTGTCTGTATGGTGACTTTTCAAATTAGAACAAATTTAAAATACACAATAATTAGCATGGAACACAAACCAGTAGGTTAAACAGGTAATGACAATTTTCTGTCACTGTAAATCATGCAATTGAAAAATGAGAATACTGGAGTAATGCAGACCTGTATCAGACTTAAATCACTAGAAAAATGTCTAAATTAGAAGGATTTTTAGCCAGCTACTGATCCAACTATCTCTCAGGAATAGGAAATTAATGAAGCCAATACATTTAACAGTTCATCTGCTGATAAATTAAGATTATAATTGGGACTATTCTTGCGGCAAACAGAGGACCCAGTGCTCTGTGTTGTAATTATGATTAAATGCTCTTGAGTTCTATAGCTAAGAGGTTACCAAAAAGTCACATCTTCTAGCAGTGGTGTGGCATTTCCAATTAGCAGACTCAGTCCCAAAGTCCTTACACATTATTAGTCACTAAGGACAAACTTGTTTGGAATTTGCCTGGAATGGAGGCCACTGAAGTTTCAGACCTTCCTCACTTCAGCATCAGTTTGGACGTACCCATAGCATCTAACTCAAAGAAAATGCTCTCTTAGTGAACGCTTTCATTTATAGCTGACCTACACCCCGCTCTCGATGGAAAAACCTCATGTCTCTAGGACCACACCTGGTACTATTACACACATACTGTTATAATGCAATGTGTAAATGATTATGTTTGGCATGCAGAAGTGTATGTAATAAGTACATCAATACCTTTTACACCTGGGAATCCAAGAAATCCAGGGTCCCCTCTAGCACCAGGATAACCTGATCGACCTTCTAATCCCTGCAAATCAGATAACGCCAATAATAAACAGGAAGCAGCATCTGCATGCTGTGAAGTACATTTTCTTTTTGTTCAGAGTATTCAAAGCATTATGTTCACAGAATATGCTACAACTAGAATTATCTGCTCCATTTGTGAGCATGTTAGAAATAGTCATATCATTGTTAATATTATTCTGTAATACCAAACGGCCGAGGAAATGACATGCTAGAAATTCACAATAATTTCTTTTTGGTCCACTTAAGTCCATAAAAACTGCTTTTCATACCCATTTTAATATCTTTCTTCTATTACAAGGGCTTTTTGGGAGGATGTTGGGTTTTTTTGTTTTGGTTTGTTTGTTTGTTTAAATTGTCCTGGGTGTTACTTTCATGGTAAGAGCAAAATTAACAATGGAGTAAAAACCAAGCAATATTCCTTTCACTGACTTTTGGACCGGGAGGACCAATGTTGCCGGCTGGGCCTGTTGGCCCTGGTATGCCATCTGCCCCTCTAACACCTTTGCTTCCTTTCATGCTGGGAGTGGGAAGACCAGGAGGCCCTGGAAAACCAGGCGCACCTGTACAGAAACATCAGAGTAAGTAAAGACTACTGCCAACAGCATTTCACATACATTACATACAATGCAGTCCAACGTTCAACGACTCTATGATGGTACTCATGTTTACCACCTCAGTGATTCCCAAGGAAATATATCCATTTTTAAAAAAATCAACTCATTTTTCCTAGCCTGCTAATTTAATCTGAGATCAGAGCTGAGTTCTTGCAGTACTCTATAGCACTACAGTTTTTTTAATATCCTCCAGTTGTAGTTATGCCTCTACTCATACTCATGCTATCTCACTTCTTTGAAGTTGATCTTAGCTGTCCTACAGACTGCATGGGAAGAAAGCAAAATAATGCAATCAAGTGGACTGCAAAGCTTGGCACTATTTTAATTTACATCATACTGCATAGACCATCATGGTGTTTGCAACGGTAACATTGCATTAACTAGTACAGGAACTACCTGTTTAATTATGAAGCTGTCTTGGGGGAAGACCCCTTTCAACCTTGAGTTCTGGACAGGCTGAATTCTGCTTTCAATTATCAGCATATCGTTTCAGATAAATACGGAGTTATAACAACACACCTGGTCTTCCATCTGCACCAGCAATGCCTCTATTCCCTTTTTGGCCAGTAATTGCCATGCCTGTTGTGCCTTGAAATCCAGGTAACCCCACTAAGCCAGGAGGTCCAACGGGTCCTTGATCACCCCGATGACCTTTCATACCCGGTGGCCCAGGAAAACCAGGCAGTCCCATGTCCCCTTTGACTCCTGCAAAGTGTAAGTATTACATTTGGGGAGATCCGTCAAGATAGTAAGATGATGCGACTACATGGAATATGTGTATTTACTATACTGCGAAGGTGGAATTCAGCCTTTGTTTTTAGTATGGAGAAGTCCCCAAAACCACCTTGCTACTGTAAAGCAAAATAGTTGTGAGAAGACAGGACTCCCTGCAAAGTAGTGTACACACCCTTCTTTTTTTTGTTTTTAATTTTTTTTTGAAAACGCCACTTCAGAGATTGCTCATACAAAGGAATAAACTTGAGAGAAGGGTAGAAAGACCAGAGCAGGGAATATTTCTTGATGCATGAGTAGAAGAAATGCTTCTTTGAACATCAGAACTGGCAAATCCTTTTAAACTAAATTCCAGCTAAAAGCATCAATATGAGTACACTAAAATAAGAGACTGCCCCAAATGGATATTGCTCTAAGGTTGATCTTAGAGTTGATCCATATATCGAGATCTATATATGGAGGGTATGAAGAGAGAAATTTAAGTAAAGCACATCAATGGATTTCTACCAGTACTAGAAATACAATGCAAAAATCTAAAAAAATGGGAAGAGTCCCCTCAGTCAACTGTTCATCAATATAAAAGGGGAGATGAACAAAATTAAAATGCAATCACTGTAGTTTTCTTACAGTATGCTTTGTATTCAGCAGCAGCATCTGTTTTCATTAGAACATACTCTGTTAATCAAATTATGTATCAAAATAGAATTTCAAAAGCTTTAGAATGTGTGTATCACCTTCACAAAACCATAGAAGTTAGCTTCTTTATTTCCCTTTTACAATAGTCTTTTAAGTTTACAAGCAAGAACTCTTGACATTTAATATATTGCACCAAATCATTGATCAAGAGCACAGAACCACTCTTGATTTCCTCTGACACTCTTAGTGCCATTTCAAGCATCCAAAAGCAGGAGGTGACTTAAAGATGATGATTCTGCTGTTTAAAAATTAAGCTTTTTCTTTCTGGAAAGACAACTCACCTCCACGACCAGGAATACCTCGAAGGCCAGGGATTCCTCTCCCCGGTGGTCCTATAAAATATTAAGTCACGTTATACTCAAAGTCCTGAATAATTGTTAGAAAACATCATAGTTGTTCAATATTTCATACATTTCTTTAGAATTCACTGAATCAAAACGTCGATTTTAGTTATATGTGAAATATAATTTATTGGTTATTTCCATTTCTTCTATCCAGAAATACAAATTAAATTTATAAGTTCTTCTTTATAGTAGGAACTCTTATTGATCAGTCATATTTGAGGTACATTCTACAACAATAAGCTTTGTCTTTTTTCAGAGGAAAAAAAACAGAAGAAAAATCTGTATTTAAGTTAGTAACTAAGAAAAATAAAAGAAGAAATGTAAATACCTAAAAAAAAAAATACGTTAACAGTGATTACTTCAAGCTTAATATGAAAAGTCTTACTAAATACTATGAATGCCTGCTCAGTATCCTCTTTATACTCATATGCAAAGAAACATTTTCACTGTGAAATATGAAAACACTTTCTGTCAGAATTCAGTGGAGGACTAAATCTATCTGTAGACACTGATGACATCAGGAGTAACATTTAAACGAAAGATTTTACAACCTAAGGGCCAGGTCATGGAAACCTTCACTATTCATGTAAGTAAACACTGTGATTCCTTTCATCTTATTTCCACGTAAGAGAGGAGACTCCTTTAAAAGGATTTCGGTTCTTTTCATCTCTTTGAGATTAAACACATTAAGAACAGTTAACAGCAATACTTTGGCTCTTGCAGACATTAACATTTTTAGGGGAAGTTATGGCAAATCACATGTATAATAGAGCAGTGACATATGCATTCGGGTTGTTGACAGTATGTACAACAATTATATAGAAAAACCTGTGAATTACGTAAAAGTGAAAAACCTTCTACTTATAAACTTATCTTTGGCTCCACAGAAGCTCCTTATTAATCCTTCCCAAATAATCCTTGTCAGTTTAACTAGGGAAAAAAAACAATTATAAAATAGCATGAAAATATTTCACTGGTGTTACCTGGTTCTCCCTTTACTCCTGGGGGACCAGGCATACCATCCTGACCTTGATTACCTCTTTCACCAACAAGTCCAATTTTTCCAGGGTCTCCAACAGCACCTGTGAATTTTAATGGACCACAATATCATTTTCATTTCTACTATTTTGCATTTCAAAGGGAGAAGATATGAGTCCCCTTTATTAAAATTTAATTAGTTCAGCTACTTCAAAGATAGATGTAACCTGTGTTGCTACATAAATATTTGTAAAGACCAGCATATAATTTTTATTGAGCTCACTGGACTTCAATGGATTTAAAACCCCCACTATTTTCACAGGCAATAACTTTCTGTCTTTCAAAGACATTTTAGGACCCCGCCTTTCATTTAACCCACACTGGTGGGAATCCATACAGGCAGCATGGTTTCTCTCCCTGGCTTTATTACAAATTCAAGGTTTCTCTAAACAGGGAGTAGATTGTGATCTTTGCTAACTCTGCTGATAAGTCAGTGCAAGTTCACTAAAGTCTACAAAACTACAACATCATAATTTTGATGAGGATCTCTGAATATAAGAGCATTCAATGCTCTTTTTGAAGACAATGACTGGCACTCACTCTAATAAAGTCTGCATTGCGTACCTCTCTGTTGCTGCATATTTACACACTCCCCCTTAAGTATATTTTGAATCATTTGATCTTTTCTGTTGCTTTAACAAACAACTGCAACTCTGTCTCGTCTTTCCACTCTAATTCATTTTCTTCTCCTCATCTAGCTACATCTTAGTTTATTATTCTCTTTTAGGAGGTAGAACAAGCCTTTCTTACAATTGTGTGGATATCACATCTTGAGACCTCTGGATGGAAAAAAAAAAGGCAAAAAGCTTTACAATAGTGAAACAAAATTAAAACATCTTGCCTCAGACTAACTGGTAACATTGAAAAGAGGCTGTTAAAGACCTCAGCTGGAACCAAAGAAGGTAAACAAAGCCTCAAACTAACATAAACAGAGACTGCAACTGCATTAGTTAAATTCTAAAAAGCTCAGAACAAAAAGAACATCAACTGCTTCATTACAAAGAAAATAACAAACCAGGGGGCAGTGATTTGGGAGAGATGCTATATATCATACCAGGAGGGCCTGTAATGCCCTGTTGTCCTGGGCGGCCCTGCCGTCCTTTAACACCAATATCTCCAGGAGGTCCAAGCTTCCCTGTAAGAAGATAGTGTGGGAGGGGAGAAAAGGCATTATCACTAGATTCAGACTCAGACTGAGAACTTCGCTATCATTTCTGCTTTGGACAGCTGCGAAAGATCTCCAGCTGATGTAAGCTAGCCTGGCTGCGCTGACTGCAGAGGAGCTGTTTAGGTTTACAGCAGTTGAATATAAATGTGCTCCCTCACAGGCACCCTGTGTAGTTAATTGAGAAATTATCATCTTCTAGAAGCCTGTCGACATCTCACCGCCCCTCCAAAACAAAACATACCCGGGATTCCTGCACCTCCAGTTTCCCCTCTGATCCCATGTGGTCCTGGTGCTCCTTTATGTCCTGGATGACCTTGGGATCCTTTTTCTCCTTTGCTGCCCAAAACTCCTGGGAGGCCTGGATCTCCCTGAGAAATAGCAGTTGCACACAAACAGGTAAGAATAATTAAATACATTACATTCCATATTTGAACAATAGAAAAAATCATATGTAATTTTAAAGGTTAAGTAAGTGTAATCATGGTTCATTATAATTTTCAGAGAAAAATCAAAGTAGACTAATATAAAATCTTCTTATAATACACCACTGATCCTTCAGACATAGCTAAGAAAAAAAGATCTTTCTTTAATCTGTACAACCAACTTCAGTCTTTAGAGGTTTTCACCTGCACATAGACCTCCCTTCAGTTTTATTCTAACAGCTCCTCTTTTGATCCAAACATACATTCCTTACATAATATGCAGCTATACAAAATACTGAAATGCATTCTTTTTCCTTGAATTCCTACTGACTTTCATGACAGTAATCTCATTGCAGCTACCCAGCTAATACAGAAAATAAACAGATAATTTAGATTACAGGAGTTATACTACAGTTTACAGCCTCAACCACGTATTTCAGATAATCTCATACGTAAAGAGTCTCAGTTGTTCAACACCCAGAATATGCGGAGTAAAAGCGTATCCCATTGACCTAACTTAAAAGAAACTATTTTTTTCTTAGCAATATATACTATGTTCAGTAATATACATTGCTAAGAAAAAACCCAATTCATCTTGTGCAATAATATTATTAGACTGTCAAAAAACAACAGTACAATTTTAGATTACAAAATTATGCATTTGCTAAGATTATGTTTTTCTGTACTTCTTAACGTACAAGTATTCCTATTGCTGACTTTTTAAGTGTCCTTGTTCTTAATGAATTAGCAACTTTTAAAAAAGCAAGGTTATTTCCAAGATATTCCATTTTTACAAATAAGAAATTCTTGCACCAAGAGAAACATGAAATATAATGAACTCAAAAATTTCTCCCGAGTAATGACACAACAGGATTTCCGTATTTCTTATCATTAACAAATCATCTACTTCTGCAAACTCTGCAGGTCTTGCTTACATGTTGTTCTGTTTCTATAGTCAAAGGCTCTGCTTATTGCCTAATATGACAATGTTTCCATTGCCTTTATACCTTTGGACCAGGTTCTCCTGGAGGTCCAGCAGATGGGTACCCAGGGTCTCCTTTGTCACCTGGAAAGCCACCATAGCCTGGTGGACCAGGGTTACCTGATGGTCCTGGAAAGCCTGGAGATCCTTTCTGTCCTTTTGGACCTGGAAAAATACAGATACTTATACCTATACCATTCTTAAAAGGATCGTAATTGCATACTGCACCTTGTGTTTTTTGAACTACCGCTTGTATATTCGGATATTCATTCTTCATTAAAGTAATTTACACAGCAGTGATTTTATTTCTAAACACAGTAAGAAAAGGTTCTTACATGTAACAACATATAAACTGAAGAAGTTATATTTCATTTAGAGAGAGGGAGAACTGCATTCTGCAAGTCAAGCAAATGCTGGGGTGGTGAGAAGTCTATAGGTATGGCAAAGAATAAATACCAGTATAAGTATTGTGTAGTGTGCTTACAGTAACTGCTCAGATCTGTGCAAATGCTTCTATACAGCTCTATGAATTTGTAATATGGCTTGATAGAAAATGACCTGGAATTCCCATGTCCCCTTTGTTTCCTGGTGCACCCGGGAATCCTTGTCCTCCAGGAATCCCTGGAAGACCCATAAATCCTTTGACACCTGCAAGATGAAGAAATAAGTGTCATCTTCATAAGTTTGCTTTAGACACTGGCTGGCTGGTAGAGCTGTCACGAATACAGAATCCTCTACCGCACACCCTGTCATGGTATCTTATTATTTTAAAAATCAACATGCAGCCAAAGTATAATTCTTCCTCTTGCCTCAGACATAGATAAAATTATCATTGTTGTTGTCATAAAGTCAAGGAAATAACAAGCATCTTATGTATCAACATTAAAATTAAGGTTTGTAACCACAGCACTTAGGGGTGGCAACCGAAATACACTTTTGCAAATTTTGATCAAGATCATGAATTTTGTATTTACACACTGGACTCTCCTTTCATTGTCCCCCTGAGTTCAGTCTGGTTTCTGGGCATGTCACAATCACATTATTACTTACTCATTATGCACTTCTCACGACTAGTATACTCAAGAGCTTTTTCTTATACGGCTTAGGCACTTTTTCCCCCACTCACTTATCTTTAGCTTAATTTAGCTAAATTAGCATTCAGTTTAACGACTACAAGATCTAGTTGCATCTAGAACGTCCAGATGTCTAGATTGCAGGGTACTAGCAATGCCTGAACATTTAGGCAGGTGAGGTCTTCTTTTCTTCCATAAAAAGTTAGGGAGTAGTGGAGCATTTGCAGTTTTTCCTGTGATGGCTACACTGCAATGACTACAAAGGATGTTAATGACAGAATATAGCAGTGATGCTATAATGACATATAGCATGGATAATTGCCATCATGAGAAGAGCCATTCTGATTACAAGTTTAAAATTATTTCTAGCCATCACCATTTTTATGTACCTAATTATAGTGTCATATGGTTTTCTAGAAAGAAGTTATCTCAAAGAATCAAAAATACAGAATACAGAGAAGTAAAGATGTTTTATTAGCATTAATTTGAAAAAACAGATGCATTGTCTCACTCAAGGGTCAACATGTATCATTACGTATGATGTTATGGTAATGGCAGAGCAAAAAACTTTTGTGAAATGGCTTAGGTAGGTTTATAATTCATGCAGGTTCTTTTTAAGTCTGCTTTTCACTGAAGACCTGGTAACTTTCAAAATAAGCCAAACATGCAGGCTTTGAAAAGGGAAATAGAATCAATCTGAAATAAAAAAAGCTTCTGAAATATTTTTGTGCACAATTGTAATGTTCCTGTTTTAGAATTCTTACTTTTTCTTCATCATATTGGGAATTCAAACGTCTCTTCACTGTTATAAATACTGATTTTTATTCATTTGCCTTATCAGCTTTTAGATTTTAAAGTTGTTATTATTCAGGATTTAATATTATTTTCTATTTATCACCCCAAACAATGGTCTATATTTGGAAGGAAACAGAGAATCATTTGGTGGTAGCTGCTATGATTTTCAGATAGCAGCTTTTGATGCTCTGTTTCAGAATTCTCAGAAAAGCCTCAGAGTTAATACAGAGAATGTAGTGCTGCTGCTGGAGCCAAGTTTATGGGCTAGCATTGAGGTAATATTATCCCTACCCTCCACGTGATACAGTAATTTTCAATATACGTATTCCATACCTGGTAGACCAGGTATTCCTTCAGACCCGTCAAGACCTGAGGGACCTTGCACACCGACATCTCCTTTTTCTCCTCTTAGACCCATTCTTCCTTGAACTCCTAAAACAAAGTTTCATTAAAAAAATATTACAAAACAACATCTTAGAATATAAGTTTTATGTGAAGTTTAAATTTTTAAAACTAATGAAGCAGAAGTGGGACATAGGATTTTCACTCTGTGAACACACACAAGCAAGACACAAGTTCACAGTTAATGCCTTCTGCATTTCTCATATGGAGACAAGAAGAAGTTTCTGAACTTCCATAGGAAAATGTCTACACAAAAAGCCAGATAGCATTAGTTAAGCATGTACAACTCATATACAGAGATTCTATATTAATATTGCAAACAAAGGAATTCTGACAGTCAAGTATTTCTAAGCAGACTCCATTTCTTTGCAATCTAGCATCTAGTTGGTAAAGACACCCATTTCTGTGCTCATGGGCTACTAAATGTGTAAAAACATGAATGTATAGCATGCATGTATATAAGCCTCCTAGTACTACTGACACATTAATATTGGTTTAACATCACAGTAGAAGTTGTTTTAAGGAATATGGACTTGTTAAAATGGAAGTAAATATTCAGTGTAATATCCAACTATCCCATAAATAAAAAAGCAGTTACAGTGTTCAGCAATAATTATTTGAAAGCCGTGTGAATACTCTCAGTAGTAGAGTCAGTTTCTTCTATGTTTTAGAGTCCACTGGAACTGCAACATAGATGACAACCCTGACTAGTTTTGGATGACAGCACAATGAATGTGTACCTTTTAAGCCTTGTTCTCCTTTAGTCCCAATACCAACCAAGGTCTCAGATGGTCCAGGAAAACCTTTATCACCTGGTTCGCCTTTTGCTCCAAGAAACCCTTTTCTTCCCTTTAGTCCTGGGAGGCCAGAAGAACCTGCAAGAAAATATAATGAAGTTTTCTGAAGAAACCTGACTAGATGATAGCATAAAGGCAGCAGTGAAACTCCTGTCTTCAAGGACAACTACGAATGTAAATATACATTTCAAATCAGCAACCTAAAGTAGCTTCTTAATTACTCCAATCATCAATAAAACATCTATGAGCACAAATTATGGCAAGAGATGGTAATTATTTCTTACACTGAATATATGTATAATCTTTTTTATCTGTTGAATAGATATAATAATGGTATTTGGAACATGAATGGGATAGAAAGAAATAGAGCAAAAAACCTCTCTGCTCTTTATTTAGCAAATCACCAGCCACTTTTACAAATACCAATGAAATAGAAAGGGTGGCAATTCCAAACTGCTAAAAAAATAAATCATGTTGTCATTCAGTCTGTAGACTGCACATATACGGAAGTCAAAGATTTACCAAGACTCAAAGAAATTCTGGCATGACACGCGTACTCAGGAGTGATAACGTACATCAAGGTGGATCACAAGACTACTTCAGCATGGAAGCTCCTATATTCTAAGTAATAATGAAGGCAGATACTACGGCCACTTGCCTCCAATACCCGGGTTGCCTGGTCTTCCAATCATGCCAGGGGGTCCAGGAATTCCTAACAGGCCCATTATACCTGGCTCTCCCCTTGAGCCTGTGGAATTGAAGAATAGGAACATATTTGTTAGTATCTGATCAGTGAAACAGAACATTACTTCAGAAAACTACACGTGTGCCTGTCATTTAAGTGTTTAATTGCCTATTTTATTTTTTCTCCATTTCTATAACATACTGTCAAAGCCAGTTTTCCAGTCTTTAACCACATGAACAGCACTTACACACACAGTAACCCCCAAACTACCTAGATTAGTAGCTGCAACAGCTTCTGTCAATGAATGAAATAACTGACAGTGCAGATAATGTATCTGAGATATCCACACAGGGATGGGAGACCTGTCATGGGATGTTCTGGCTCAGGAGTTGAAGGGCAGCTGGGACATGACAACTCCCCTCAAATGACATCAGAAACCTAGGTTTGCGCAACTGAGTCAAGCGCTACATGTTTATCATTAGTTTTATAGGTTGTATACATAAAAAGGTATGTACCATCTCCTTACCACAGAATAATGCAGGACTTGATAGTAATGAAAAATCTTAGTTAGAGATAAGAAGCATTACATACCCCATTTCTTTTATTCTACAAATCAAATTTGAACACATTTCTGAAAAAAAACCTACAGGGATTACCTACCTTACTTAAAGTTAGCTCTGGTTAACGTGACGGAGTTTGATCTGACTCGACTCTGTCAGACTCAAGATCTGAACTTGCTTTTTAAGAAAAAGAAGGTAGCATTAACAAGCTATTTGCTTGAAAAGGGATGCTGAGTAAAAACTACTAAACACTTTACACTTCCATTATGCTGGGGAGTTGCTTTGAATGTTAACTGGTTCATGTCCTGCTGCAAGGACATTACTGTGCAAAAAACAATGTAAGGCAGCCTTCTGTTCTCAGAAGACTGTTACAGAAAATTCAGTACTATGTCATGACAGCTTCAAGATATGCTCATCATTTAGGGAATGATGATTTACTTGTTTTCCATATAGACTGCAATGATATATGAAAGCTGTTGATAGAAAAATATTACAGCATCTTCAATTTGGAAAAGCACAACTGACTTTTTTGCAGAGACTGACTTAATTTCTATGTCAAAACAAGTATTTGGGGAATCCTTACCTGGCACACCAGAGATTCCTGGCCTTCCAGACTGTCCCTTGGGACCAGGTAATCCTGTGTTTCCTTGAAGACCTATTAATCCAGGTTCCCCAGGCTTTCCGTAGATTCCTGGGATACTCAAGCCAGGAGGACCTAGTTTTCCTTTTGAACCTTGCGAACCTCTTCCTCCTAAGAAAAATGCATGACAGTGTAGTATGGTACATCTGCCTGGAAAACAAACCTTCATCTCTATCTTGCCATCGTGAGCATGACGCTCTTCTTGAACTCTGCCTGTTTGAGGGCTAAACATTAGATCTATAAGACAACATACACATTCAGGAAATCTTAAGAGAGTTGTGGTTTTTGTTTTGTTTTGGGTTTTTTTAGAGTGGTAAACATTAGATCTATAAGACAACATACACGTTCAGGAAATCTTGAGAGTTGTGGTTTTTGTTTTGTTTTGGGTTTTTTTAGAGTGGGAAAAAAAAAGGTGGGAGTAGACAATTTTGTTCTTTCTCAGAAGAAGAAGAAAAAAAACAAGCATGAAAACCCCACCAATTCTGCATTCATTCTCTAAAAAACAAAAACAAAAACAAACAAAAAATCCTTTTGAGATCATATATAGAAGGACTGTGCTGGGTACCCGAGTGTGTTTCTCTTGGAATGGAAATCATATGTAGTATATGCAGGTACTTTTGAGTCCCTAAACTGGTTTTCTACCTAGCTGAGCTCTTCCTGTTTTGTTTCTTTATCAATCGCATTGCGTTGTTCCAAGTTCAGCCCCATATAGGAGACATGACTGAAATATCCTTTTTCCTGCAGAATTTGGGCCAGTTTGTGATTACTCTTTGTACTGTACAATGGAATCTGAATCTTAATCCATCTTAATCAGTGCACGTGTTTCCTCCCATCTACAGAAAGTGTATCTTGTAAAAGGGCTCACGTTTTCTCATATACTATCCTATAATCAATATCCAAAACCAACTTCAGCTCCCTCAGGCCATTGGAAGGCAGAAACGAAACCCAGACCCACCCAGCCAAATGGCACATTTGATTCAGAAGGTCCTACCTGGTGGGCCTGTAGTTCCCTGGCCACCTGGCAAACCTGGCAGGCCAGTAAGACATTCAGCAGGTTTCCCTGGAAAACCTGGATCTCCAGGAACTCCAGGTGAGCCACGATCTCCTAAAACAAAGGAGACTTGATTCACAATGATTTAAGTAGAAGTTTCAGGCTTTGCGTGAGCATTGTTTAACTTGGCTTCCCTTCCCTTAAAATAACTTGCTGTGCTCCTTGAGCTTGTTTGACAATAGTACCTCTTAGGCCATCATCACCATCATATCCAGCACGCCCTGGTAGGCCTGCAAGTCCTGGAAATCCAGTATCACCTTTTGAGCCAGGAATGCCATGACCTCCTGGTGAACCCAGTCTACCTGGCTCTCCAGGAATAACCATGCCTGGGTCACCCTGCAACACAGAGAGAAATGTAAACAATCCACACGTACTATGTTTTGCAAATCTGCCAAAATATTTTCTCCGCTGTGTGATCAATTAACTTCTTTCATTAGGGTAATTTTCTACATTCCCTGGGGATCTTTCACATTGTAATTTTTAACGGCTCCAATTCAGCAGACTGCTGGATGTCCCTTATTCACCAGCTGCAGGTTCCACACCAGAGGAGTAATTCGTCTAGACAGCTTTTGAACTCTGTCTCCTAACTCTAAGAAATTGCTATTAAGCAATGCAAGACACTTCCCTCCATTTGGCCTTTTTTGGCCATTGTGATGCTTGCTGTAGCTGTGAAAAGCTTTGGACCTGTATCTGAAAATTTGGTTGAAGTTTGTGCAAATACAACTTTTCCTTTATTTTATATGATAAGTCATAGTTTTATCAAAATATTTATTTAAATAATCAAGGTCAGCACCCAGATGTGTCTCAGAATACTTGAAGTCAGTTACTGGGTTTTTTTTAATCATTCTTCTGAACATTGTTTTCCGTGAAGACTGTTTTATCACAAATATCCCAAGTCTGTTCCCTGAAAGGAAAGTTTGAATTGTTTTTTTTTTTTGGCTGACTGAACTGCTGGTTGTTTTGAGTACTAGCAAATCAATATGTTCATAAAGCAGGTTAGTAGAGCTGAGCTTATACTAGCCACTGATGATATACTTGGACCACAAAGGCCACTCCACATCCAGCTGTTCTGTGGCATCAAACACAGATTAAATAATAATTAAAAAAAATGCACAACCCCAAACTCCACACTTGTCATGTCAAAAAAAGAAACCCACACAAAAGAATGACATATGAACACAAAGCACAACCCCAAACTCCACACTTGTCATGTCAAAAAAAAAAAAAAACCCACACAAAAGGATGAATACGAACACACAAAAAAAGAAATGCCACCTTTTCAAAACATTTAGGTGTTATTACTTTGTTCAAATTTGAATCCTGATTACAGAGTAGTCAAGAATCCTATATTTACTTATGCCACCAGTAGATTAGCTTCTGGTAATCAGCAAGAGCGGCTGCAGTATTACCTCCAACCTACTTCCTTTACACTTCAATTCAGCAGAGCACTTGCTTAAATTAAATGCATGCTTACCTGTCACTGACCTCCATCAAATATGTGCTTAATTGCAATTTCTGAATAGCCATCTTTTCAGAAGCTGTGGCCTTAATTTTTTGCTGTCAGCAATGCAATATCCTCCTTGTGCTCTGAAAACTGAAGTACCAAAACATCCCAAACACTTGGATTTCTGAAATCCTGTATCTGAATTCAAAATTTTGGCTTGAGCCCCTTTTATATATAAACAATTTAATTTCATAGTTTGTGCATCACTGGTCAGGAAATACAGGAACTCCTATATTCCTTAATTTATTTGCTCAGTGTCACATTTAGTGAATGGGACCTATGGAAAAGTCTGTGCTGTATTTCTAACCAAACCTTTTTTCCTGGTTGTCCCAGGTTTCCAGCTCGGCCTGGATCTCCGATCTTTCCTTCACAACCTGGTGACCCTCTGCCTCCTGCAAGTCCTTTATCTCCTGCAAAAGGAATTAAATGGCAGTACAGATGCTATGGTTATCACCTTATTTTACAAATGGGTATTTGTATGGATGCAGTTATGAGCCTCTGACACTAAAGTAGCTTACATGAGCTGAAGACAGCATCGTGATTTCAGAGCTGATGTGACACATTGCATATTGTTCCTTACATATTCACTTAACGTTGACTGTAACACTGCTTGGTTATTTGCTTCAAATCAGTTATTTAACATGTCTTTTCAAAATTTT